GATTGTCCAATGCACTGGATGATTAATGGATTGTCCAATGCACTGGATGATTAATGGATTGTCCAATGCACTGGATGATTAATGGATTGTCCAGCACAACTGAAGGGGGCATTTTTTGAAGTCCCACAGCAACAGGCATTAGCACAGATGATAAGGAGAGCTACCTTTCTCTCTTGCACTTTGCTGTAGACCGTCTCCCACTTCTGCTCCAGTATGCACAGACTGTGCTCTGTGCTGGAGCCTCGGGCAACATTGTGGTTCTCCAGAAGCCGGTGGATGGTGTCGCTGACATTGTCATAGGTCTGCCGCTTGGACTCCATCTCCTTGCACAGCTCCTGGAGAAGAGGGACACACAGAAGTCAGCGCTCATTCCTCTGTCTCCTACTAATAAATGTACATTAAGTATACCTGTCAACACATGTGCTCTCTCTTATCTGGTAGTTAAGTGATTACTTTATGATGTGTCACGAGCCATTCACCACTGCATTTCTGGCATACAGTTTGTTAACAAGTGCATGTTGTGTGTCATTATACCAGATGTGCGCTGAGCCTCTCATTGGCCGTCTCAGGAAGCCCCCACACCAGCCGGGATGATGACATCCTCAGCTCTGTGTTCTCCAGCCACTGCAGCAGGTCCTGGATCTCCATTGTAACATCTTGGACCTGGAGATAAAACGTTCAATCAGCCAGTCAACTAAACTGTCAATGTCTCTGTCAGATCCCTGTATGTATCACAATATAGATACTGATAAGTACACAGCATAATTATTTATTGACACTAGAGGGCAGTACAAGGCATAAAATATGGAACTTATCTGGTTCTCTACCTCTAGTTCACTTTGGGAACATTCTGCCAGTACTTTTAATCTTCATTATCTTCCACTGCTGTTCCTGAACTACTCCCAATACAATATGGACATAAGATCCATTCTTTACTGAGGTACCTGACTCAAGTTGTTCTCCAACTCCAGCTGTCTCCTCTCGGTCTCACAGCGCACATACTCCCAGCGTTCATCGAGCTGTTCTAGCTTGGCCTGAAGACCATGAGGGCTATCACCAGAGCCAGCCTCCAAAAGCTCCCGGCCCACCCGATTCAGGGACTCCACCGTCCGCACGTGTGACATCACATCATTCCGGAGAACCTGGGCAGTAACAATGACCTTGTTTGCTCTGGTTTGTGGAGAAGGCACTTTGCTGACAGTCAGGGTGACTCCGGGAGTACCTTGTGCTTGGCTAACTCGATCTCACAGATCTGCAGGTCGATGCTGATTGGCCGGGGGCCCTGCAGAAGGTCCGCCGTGTGGGAGAGCCAGGTGTGTAGCTCATCCAGCGTGTTCTGGAACTGACCCAGACCTAGGAGAGCACACTCCAACTGGTGCTGAAATGGTAAGGCCCAGTCAAAACATCACAAATTCTGCTTCAGCCATGACTTGAATCTGCTGTGACCACAATCCAAACATGCTGTTCTTCTGATTCTCCCAATATTCCCAATATATATTATGTGGAAAATTATCCATCCATTCATGGGAATGGATTTGGTCAGCTTTTGGGACATAGAGATCACGATTACCTGTCTGCTCACTGTCTCCCCCTCCAGGCCATCCCAACGTCGGCGAAAGTTCTCCAGAGACGAGGTGGAGCCCGGCGTCTCGTGGTCCAGGGGGAGACGGCAGACGAAGCGGTGGTTGAGGCTCTCCATCTCGATCTTCTTTTGGTACAGTTCCCGTTTAAATGCCTAGGTGGGGCAAGCCCTGTGTCAATATGTCGCTACCTCTTAGTAATGGTCACTAACAGGATGTTGGACATTATACAGAGCAGGTGAAGTGGATGCATCCACACCGGAGATGTGTGCTCATTTGCCTCACCTTTAAGTCACACAGTTGCTGTTTCACAGCTTCCAAGTCAGTCTCTACCAAGAACTCTTCTGTGGACTTCAACTCGGCGGATTTGAGCCACTCAAACAGTCCCTGCAGAGCACAGAAATTACTGTAATATCAAATGTTCTCACAAGTCAATGTGGTCGTTGGTTTCAACCTACATGACAGGGCTACTGCTGTTTTCAGTTAAATACTGTACACAGAGCCACCGAATTTTAGACATCAGTTGTACAACCCATATTAAACATTTTGATATGAAAGGAGAATTTAAATGGCTGGGGTCAGGAGATGTGTAAAATTCTACATATTCTGAGTCATGAAAACTAGCAAACATAGTTGCTTGATATATCATGGGTTCGCAACATTTTTCCCAAGGATTAAATTCCACCAGCAGCACATAGCCAAGCTCCGCTGCAGCCAGAAAAATGCCAAATGGGGGGGTGGGGGGGGGGTCACCCGTCTGGATGTGGAGCCGAATCCGCCAGTTGGTGATGACTGTGATAAATTCATAATGTTTACGAAAAAACAGTATACTGCCTCTTCCCGTTCCAGAGCTGATCAGCTAATGAGAACTACCTACATGCGATCTTGCTACCAGAAAAACAACTTAGCAAAGGCATTTTTGAATCTACAAGCGCCAGTCAAACATCGCCAGCTTACAAATAGTATTCAAGACAATGATTTTTTTAATGGAATTCTGCTTTGCGTGTTCAGATAATAACCAAAAGGATTAATGCTATCAGCCCCCATCGTTTGGATAAGACATAATGGAGCTGATGTTTCGAAAACTCAAAACTCATTCCCTTTGGCTGCAGCCCTCAAGTATGAAGCATGTTGGCCTGGAGAAGTGGTTCATTTAACAAATTTAATTAAAAAAAAAAAAGCTTATTTAAAAAGTATAATTAATTCTCAGTGGAACACAGAAGCCTGCTGACTAGTTCAGACAATATTAATCGGAAGAGAGACTCTGGGCTTTAACTCAGCTGAAGTTCAATAATTTTACAGTGAAGGTCATAAGAACCATTAGCTCTGCACTGGCAGAGCCCGGCAAATTCTGTCAGACAGTCATCAGTAAAACACCAGGGGACAAAGTTCGCCTTCCGGCCAACGAGCTGAGAATGAAGAACACGCTTTTGAAAAGGCCTGCCGTTTGGCTCGTCCAATGAGTGTCAGGCTCTGTGCCATTGTGGACATGGATCTCAAACGGCTCCCACCTGCATGGTGTCCTGGTAGAGTAGCGCCACCTGCTGGTAGTTCTCCAGCTTGCTATGACACTCTGTCCACAGCTTGCTCAGGTTGTTCCATGTACCATAAAGCTGTAAAATCAGATGTCAGTGAGGCTTGCAGCAATGTATTATTCACAGATGCTGGCTGTGAACCGGGAACTCTCACCTCATCTAAACACTTAGTGACGTCTGGCTTGTCAATGTCCCCACATGCTGACATCAGATCCATTCCCAGAATTCCCAGTGAGTCAAGGTCTCCCTGCAGGCTGTCGATGTCATCCCTGAGGGCCTAGGGAACCAAAAAGGGAGGTGTAAGGAATCTTAGGAATGATTTTGATTGGTTAAGGAACTAGACTGCAAACAAGAATGTGTTGTCAGTTCCGGTTCTAAGAATGACCCTACTGCTCTGCTGTGTGTAACCTGAACCCAAACCAGGGATACACACTTGGGTGGCCCAGCACACCTGCATGTTCTCCAGACTCTGCTGGATGGTCACTGGGTCAGAGCCGTTCCCGTTCACGTCCAGGATGGCCTGCTGCGTGTCGTTCAGCATGCCCGTCAGGTCGTTCACGTCCCCCCAGAACTTGGCGGCCAGGTCTAAGAGTTGGAGGAGCCACTTATCCCTCTCCTGAGCCTGGGCCTGCACCTCCTGTAGACGCTTCCCCAGGTCGCTCACCTGCTCTTGGATGGCTGCAGGCGGGGAACAGTGTCATTAGTCACTGCAATGGCTCAGCCAGTGATGTCAGGGTGTCACAATTACGGTTTAAACCTCAAGCAATCAGTGGATCATACTGTATAACTGGTAACTCAGAGTCTGCTAATAGCTGTAAATGCCCGTGATACTGGAAGCCCCGTGAGAATGCCACAGGCGGCTACTGGACCCACCCACGCAGATGGCACTGTCCCCGGTGGGTTTGGCGCTGGCCAGGAGCTCGCATGCCTGCCCCTCGATCTTGCCCAGCCCCTGCCCCATCTTGCCCAGCTCGGCCAGCGTGAGCTGACTCTCCTGGAGCTGCTCCTGGATACGAGACGTCTGACCACGCAGAGCCACGGGCGATTGCAGCCGGCTGCGCAGACGCTCCAGGCTCTCACCCAGCAGGGACATCCTCTCGCTGAGCTGAATGGCAAGGATAAGAGGAATCCCAGTGACGACACAAAGGACAACAGGAATCCCAGTAACGACACAAAGGACAACAGGAAGCTCATTAACAACACAAAGGTCAAGAGGAATCCCAATAATGACCTGAAGGACAAGAGAAATCCCAGTAAAAACACAAAGGACAACAGGAAGCCCAGTTACAGCGCAAAGGACAACAGGAATCTCAATAAGGGCATGAAGTATTTCCTCAAACTAACTATGCTACTTCATCTCATCTCACAAAAATATACATGCATTTTTAATGTGAAAAAATTAGAAGAGATAAAAAATAGGCTTTTTCAAAAATTGTTTAGGTATAATTATAGTTTTGCCAGTGGCATCTTGAATAAAGTTTTGAAGGTTTGAAGTTACCTGTGTGTAGCGAGGCAGAGACTCCTCCAGCAGGCCGGCCAGCTCCCGTACCCGATCCCTGATGGCCCTGTGCCTCTCCGCAACGTCCGCAGCCCGCTGGCAGAACTCCTCCCCCTGGGTAGGGCTGAGCTCAGACAGCCGACGGCTCACTGAGCAGAGCCGTGAGATCAAGGGCTTGTGCTCCGCTATGGACTCCCTCAGACCCTTCGGCAGCAGAGCGGAATAGCATTAGCACTGGGCTAAACAGGCTAGCACAGATCAGGCCACTAAACTGTGTCTGCACTGAGCAGCCTAACGGAAACATATTAGCATTGACTGCACCACAGAACCATATTAGGATTGCAGTGTCCAAAGATGTTAGCATTGGGCAGCTCATGGAATCACATTAGCGTTCACCCAACCCCGAGTAGCCCAGTAAAACATGCTAACACCGAGTAACCCAGTAAAACATGCTATCATTGAGTAGCCCAGTAAAACATGCTAACACCGAGTAGCTCTGTAAAACATGCTAGCAATGAGCAGCCCAGTAAAACATGCTAGCACTGAGCAGCCCAGTAAAATATGCTAGCACTGAGTAGCCCAGTAAAACATTCTGGCACTGAGTAGCCCATTAAAACATGCTGGCACTGAGTAGCCCAGTAAAACATGCTAACACCAAGTAACCCAGTAAAACATGCTAACACCGAGTAGCTCAGTAAAACATGCTAACACCAAGTAACCCAGTAAAACATGCTAACACCGAGTAGCTCAGTAAAACATGCTAACACCAA